TGTGTGTGTGCGAGTGCGTGAGGGGAGAGGGGGGAAGATTGGCACCTCCCTCCAATGGGGGTCGAGCACACCCCGTTAATGAATGCAAACTTATGGGAACTGAGAGAATAAATAGAGGATAAAATCCTTTGCAAAACCCTACTTAAGGGTAGGTAACAGTTAACATTTCTAACTTTGTCAATAACACATCCCAGCATCATTCAGAGTGATCAAAAACCACTCTAGCAGTTCAAAATGAAAGTCAAATAGCAAAATATAATCTTTCTATTAGGAATTTGAAAATATTTCATGTTTGGAGGGTGCAGAAGCAATTTTAACTCAATCTGGCCTGCGCTCTCGCTCAATCAGTTTATTGACTAAAGTGCTTATAATTTCACATAAGCACATTAACAATAAAATCTGTGATCCTAATTAGGCTTTTTTTGACACTTGAAACCTCTAAAGAGATATTGAGAATAACGTTATAGCTATTGCTTGACTCTATTAAATTTCTGCATTTTCACATCAACTGAAGCACTCGAAACTGCATTTTTCAAAATCAGTGAGAGATATTTTAAAAAGCCTATTTTGGATCAAAGAAAATTCATTTTTACATAGTCAGGCTAAATATGAAAGAAACCCTCCCCTTGTGCTTTAAATGAGAGTGCGGGCCGCAACCCACACCCCTTTATTTTTGTCATTTTGAGAAAACTTGAAAAAAACGTACTGGTTTTGTCATAACTTTCTACTCGCAAAATCCGATGGAAAGCCGAGTTAGTAAAACAGATAGGAGCATGAAGTGAATTGTATAAAGACAATTAATCATTTGTCAGTGTACCCAATTCTTTTATTTCTAATTCTAAGAAAAGAGTCCAACAAAAATACAGTAGGTAGTGATGCAACAGACAGGTAAAATTTCGAGGTAGTATCAACTGAAAAGATGAAATTAAGGAAAATGTGTCAAAAACATGCAACTCGAAGTTGCCAAAAGAGGAAAGCACAATCATAAATTGCAGAAGGACTTCTTTATAAATTCCTAATCAGTCCCTCTTCCTGGGCATTAGAGAGGTCTGTCAGTCCGATTTTCCTCCTCTAAAAGATGGTTCCTTTCCTGCTTGTCCAAGCCAGAGCCTCTATGGCAGTCTCTGTCTTCTCTATTTGGGTACAGTCCCTTCTGATGCTACTGTCCATGGTTTGGGCTGAGACTTGCAACTTCAGGAAAGGCATAAACATCAAGGTGCAAAGGGCCCCCAAATTCCAGTCTGCAGTAGAGATAGCTAAAGCTGCTGCTACTCTTGGTTTGGTCATAAAGATCGTCTTCTCTTTGGGCACTTCAACCAGGTGTGAACACGGTTACTTCCATTCTGTTTTTGTGTCACGCCAGGCACACGCTTGATCTCCATTAGCTCATCTGTGGTGCACAGGCTTCACAAATGAGCCAACGAGGGGTTTGAGGTGGGCAGAAGGCCTTCCCTTGTGTGATGGTGCTGTGTTTCCTTGGCTGCAACGCCTTTTGTAAAAGTACAATATAACACAAATAGCTCGACTTGTTTGGGACCGGCCTCGGTAGTTCGAGGGATCTGTAGTTCCAGGGATATCTTACACTATAAAGAAAAAAAACCTCAGGACCGCAGGAACAGTTCCACAGATGAGTGATTTCGAGTCTTCTGTGTTCGACCTATCTTGTGTTATACTGTACAAGCACCGGTTGTTTTCACCGGTTGTCATGATGTGGGGCTTCTTCAGTGCTCATACTGTGCAGCAACGTGGCCACGACTGCTTCTCACATTAGTGGTGGAAAGAGTTGAACGACTTCACAGGTTTTGTGTAATAGGACTGGAGACATTCATTCTTCTCCTGGTTGAAAAGAATAGAAGAGAAAAAAACATCAGGCAAAAAAAACATAAGAAAGAGGATTTACGTGTTGCTATTATCCTCTGCAGATGGAAGCTAGTATCGCATTCAATGGCAAGCAAATTACATAGCAATTGCAGGCTAAAAACACATTTAAACACTCTAAGCAGCAGGGGGGTATTTAAGCAGACCCCACGCACAAGATAGTCCAATTTCATTTATAACAAAAAAACAAAAAGGGCAAGAAAGCAGAATATATCGTCGGCAGAGAATTCTAACCGTCTAACTCCGAAATTTTCTCGAATTGCTTTTTTCCTTAAAATAGATTGACATAACGAATGGCTACGT